GGGGGGGGCGGGGGGCGCTGTTCTTGATCTTTTAGTTACAAAAAAATCCATCCTTGACAACTATGCCATTTCTTTTGTCTAGATACTGGATGAACATTAGGTGAGTTCAATTGCTGTTCGCTGAAAATGCTAATGAAAATACTCTACTTTCAGTCAATTCCTTGCCTCTTCCTACAACAAGTCCACCAGAGGGTTTTATCAATCTTGGAGCAGACAGCTATTCACTCATTAAACATAAATATTCATGGTTTGAAGCCGACAATAATTGCAAGAACCAGAATTCAAAGATTGGAAGCATCCTGGATCCCTATAGTAATGCATTTGTATGGCTACATATGCAAACCTCTAATGTACCTGTGTGGATCGCCCTGAATAGTAACCTGGTAAGGTGCCAGCAACATACACCATCTGACGTGTTCATAAAAGATGACTGACAAAGGGTCCTTTTCTGGTTGATTCTGTTGAACACTTATGACCTGTACGTTGTGAATGACACTACGACAAACAAAACTTGCACTGACTTTAAAAAGCTTGTGATTTGTGTCCAAAATCAAAGTAAGAATGTTGTAATATATCTATTATCATCTAGTTTTTAATTAGAAATTATATTCTGGGAATAAGAAGCTTTATTTATTCATTTATGTCTTTTTAATATAAAGATTATATCTGTGTCATAAAAATGAAGAAGGTCAGGGACAGAACTGCTGTCTGATGATACTTTTCATTGTTGATGGCAAACCATGATGGAGAGATTCTAGGTTCTGAAGTTGTAGAGCTTCTATCCGTGTCTGAAACATCGTTCACTGGGGAAAGTCCCCATGTTCTGTAACAGAGAAGGGAAGGCTGGCAGAGAAGGAAGGATGAGGCAGGGCAGTAGAACCATGAGATCGTTGACACAATGTTCTTAAAGTGTGTCTACTCTGGCACCTTCTGAGACTACTTTCATCCACCCATTCTTCAGCCAGCCAGCACACTTACTAGAAGTAGATGTGCCCACAAGTAATTAAGGGAAGTGTGATGGTGTAATGGTTACACATTGGGCATAGCTATGAGTTCAGCAGTTCAAAACCACCAGTCGCTCTATAGGAGAAAGATGAGGCTTTTGACTCCTATAAAGCATTGCAGTCTTGGAAACCCCCAGGGGGAGTTCTGCCCCATAAGGTCACCATGAATCAGAATAGGCTCAATGGCAGTGCGTTTTTTGAGTGAAGTCCTTAGGGAGGCGTACAGAAAGTACGTGGGGAGGGGCAAACTGCGCCGTGGCAAGGCCAAAGCCAAGGCCAAGGGGGCTTCTCAAGAAAGTAGGACTGTCTGACTTAGGACAATAGAGAAAAGGAGAGGGGTACCAAGGGCATGAAATGGCACAGGAGATTGGTGTCAGATTTTATAGAGATTACCATGATGTCACGCAGAGATTGAAATTTGTACTTTATGTATCTAAGAGAATTTTTAAGGGGGAAAGTGACTATTTAAAACAAAGTAGTTTCCTGAGATTAAATTTAAGCAGGCTATTTTTATGTTTCTACACAAACTCATTTTTAGTCATTAAATCAGCAGTTGATAATTCTTTTTTTTCCCTCATGGACATGGTCATAATTCTCTTGTGGGATTAAAATGAGCTTTTAATTATTTTTGGAAAAATAAAATAGCGTACCACTATATCACTATTTATAACTAAAATATTATTATTTTTTCTCTATGGTGTTGGAGTTAATGGTATTTGAAGTGCTATTGGAACATGCGTGGTAGAAGACTACACATTTTTAACTTGAGATAGCACATATCTTGTTTTGACGCTGTATCTTTGGTAATTGGCTTGATAAATTAAATGATGCAGTTAAACAGGGACGAGTTGAGAGAATTTTTAAAAATGGTATCGTCTGTTCTAATGGCTTATCTGTAAAATAGAATCCACGTTGTTAAAAGAATATTATTGGTAAAGAATATTTTGACGTTATCACCAGACAGTGTTTCCCCAAACACTGGAGGAGTGCTGGACTGATCAGGGGCAGCAGCAGCAGACCCGTGCCCTTGATCCTCGATGATGGGCTGTGGTGCAGGAGCTTCTCTGCGCCGGGGAAACACTGAACAGTTTCTTCTGAAAAGGGGGATGGGTAGGCCAGATACATTGGAGGACACGTGCTACAGGACCCTAGACTTTAAAAGTAAATGTAATGAACAGTTTAACATTTAAATTTAATAAATAGGAATAAGTTGAATAAAACCGTCTTTAAAAAGGATTCCATGATTTTAATAGTTGAAAGACCGCCTGTTACAAAACCCTAGGCTTTCCTGCTAACTCTCTGTGTACATTTAGCTGTTATTTATCACTGACATGATTTCAGACTAGATTACTGCTTGTCTCCAAGTTCCATAGATTCATTGAAAATCATTTAACTTTTACTTTAATGTCAATAATACCACAAGTAGTATTATACTTGTTAAAATAAATTGTGTGTGCGTGTAAATCTGCAAATGTGAGAGAATTCGATAAGAATAAGATACTAGGGTTGTTGGGGTTTGTTTTGGTGAGTATTCTTCAAATTAGCTTCCCAAGGAATATTCTTGGTCATCTGCAAGAGGTGGATCCCCCTCACCCCACCCCCCGGCCAAAAAAAAAAAGGCTGGATTTACTCAATTTGAGAAAAAATAGGTAAAAGTGACTTCAAATGACCTTTTCTTCTTGCCCAACGTTCAAGATTCTATGTCAAACAAATCTTTCTTTTCCCCCTTGCTTGATTCTTTGGTTGATAGTTTTCTACTAGAAGCAAGGCTGCACGCTAATGGTGGGCTTCATCTTTGCAGACTAAGAATGAATACGCATGGACTGATAACTGGAGAATGAGGTACACCAATTGGGCTGCTGATGAACCCAAACTGAAATCAGCCTGTGTTTACCTGGACACTGATGGCTACTGGAAGACGGCACATTGCAACGAAAGTCTCTACTCCCTCTGTAAACGATCAGACGGTAATTGTCCACATAAAACAAACCGTCAGGCCTGTGCAGTCATCTGAGCAAGCCAGGATGCATCACTAGTGATATTTTAAAATAATGATGTGCCTTAAGGGCCAAAGAGGGTTCAAATATATTACTCCACCTAAAGGAAGGCTGACTCCGTGCTAAATTAATATACATATGTCAAAACAATGGGCTTAGAATATGTTCTTCATTGACGCAATCCATTTTAAAAATGTTGACTATCTGAATGTTTATTATTGAGATTAACCTCTAAGTCAACGATGCCAGTGTTTTGATACATCGATATCAAGGTAATATTTATCAGAATGAAGATAGATTCCGTTAGAATATTATATTCAAGACTAAGATCTAGAACTCTAATGATCTCATGTCCTTGTCCTATGGATATCTTTCCTGCCTAAGGGAGGCTGATAGGGGCTAGCATCTCAGAGAGAGGGACAGTGGCAACAAGGAGCGGTCCATTTGAAGATGTTTTTTGAGAGATTTTTTTTAAAGCATCAATATCTTGGGAGGTACCCACTGGTCTACTTTTTAAAAATTATTATTATAAGTAGGATTGATAACCACCATACCATGATACATGTTACTGTAGTTAAAATGGAAAAAAAAAAAGAAGAAGAAAGAAAGAAATCTGATAATAATCATGGTGAATCTAAAGAGTGGCCATTAGAAGTGTTTCTTCCGTAGTGACGGATGGTAAAACATTCTATATCCGCTAAGATATTCTAGTTAATATGGAACTCTTTAGGTTCTGCTTTGTTTTAAATGCACTTTTTCTCACAGACATCCCTGCCACGGAGCCTCCACAACTGCCGGGCCGATGCCCGGAGTCCGATCACACAGCATGGATCCCTTTCCACGGCCACTGCTACTACATCGAGTCCTCGTACACCAGGAGCTGGGGCCAGGCCTCTCTAGAATGCCTCCGGATGGGTAAGTGCCACACGGGTGCCGGGCTTCTCTTCTTCCATCTTCCACTACTAACAGCACCGAGCGCGAGCAACCTACTGCATGCAACAACTCCTCATTCGTTGTTTTCCATAGTCTATTTGGCAAGACGTTGGAGATAAGGTCTCTTAATACCTAATGTCTAGCTTTGTAGCCTCATCAGTAGCCTAGCTTCAATGTTTTAGAGAATTCAGGTAGGAAGCAGTCATCTATTGAGACAGTCTGTCTTTCTTTCAGCCCTAAGGCTCCGTCCAATTTCCTATTTTGTTAGGCAGAGTGTTGTACTCACCTCCTATTACTGGGAAGCTCAGGTTTTACAGTTGTCCAGGGGCCAGTTTGCTTGACCATTTAAAAAATGTATTTATTAATTGGGAGTTAATTCAGATATTCTGTCATTCCAAAGTTCCATCTCTCCAAACAGTATTGTACAATTGCTACCAGAATCGGTTTCTAAACATTCTTTTTTTCCCTGGACTCCTTGACATTGTCTCTCTTTTACCTTGGTCCCCCCAAAACTGTACCCCCCACCAAAAAACCCCCACCTTATTCTACTTGCTATCCCTATAGGTTCATCAATCCTGGCTTTCATGTTTTACGATGAATGAAAAAGTACAGTGAACCCTCGTTTATCGCGGTTAATCGGTTCTAGACCCTACCGTGATAAATGAAATTCTGCGAAGTAGGATTCCTTATATCCAAAAGTTTTACCTTTTCCTGGATGGTGAGCATCTTCCTCTGGCGCTTATTTTTATTGTCAGAAGGCTTAGAAGAAGAAGCTCGTTTAGGAGCCATCATAGGGCTTAGATAAAATTTCTTAAAAATCGCAAACAATTACAGTACACTGTACAAAAGCAAAAATGCATCTGATACGTAGCTCCGATACGTAGCGATGCAGACAGAAGCGTGTACAGTATGAGCCAATCAGTGGCAGTAATGACAGAGCATGCTCTGTTATGCAAAAACCGCGATAGAGTGAAGCCGCGGAAGTCGAAGTGCGAAGTGGCGAGGGTTCACTGTATTTCATTTTCATTAGCATATGTGTAAAGAAAGGCAAAACTTGAACAGGCACCACTTAAAGAACACAGTCACCAATGCTGAGTGGATGCCGACTCATAGCAACCCTGTAGGACTGGGTAAAACTGCCCCCACGAGTCTCTCAGACTGCAACCCCTTATGGGAGTGGACAGCCCCTTCTGTCTCTGGTGGTTTCAAACTGTGGACCTTAGGATAAAAGCCCAACTCAGAACCACTATACCACCAGAACTTTTGGGCAAAACATAGGTGATATCCCCCCACCCCACCCCAAAGGGGAGAAAAGTCATATACGCTTTTCTTTTTCCCCTAGGTGCATTTAAAAGTTCCCTTAATCTCATAGATTGCTTTTCTGAATTATTTAATATATTTTGATTCTGTGATTATTCGAGGCTTTTCATCCAACAGTTGTCGTCAACAAAAAAGATCACATCGATATGAATGAGGGGGAGGGCTGAGTGGAGAACCAAAGCCCATCTGTAGTCAATTGGATATCCCCTGTCAGAAGGGTCACAAGGAAGAGACAAGCCAGTCAGGGTGCTATAGCACCGATTAAACACACAACTTTCCTCTAGTTCTTTGAGGCTCCCCACCACCACCACTATCAGGACCCCAATTCTACCTCATAAATCTGGCCATACCAAAACATGTACACTGATACAGATAAGAGCTTTCAACAGAGGGAATCCAGGGCAGATAAACCTCTCAAGACCAACAGTGGCAGTAGCGATACTAGGAAGGTAAGCGAAGAGGTTCGGTGGGGGGAGTAAGGGAGAAAATATCACAATAATCGATGTATGGCCCCCTCGCAGGGGGACAGACAACAGAAAAGTGGGTGAAGGAAGACAGCAGTTGCTGTAAGACATGAAAAAAGTAATAGTTTATAAATTATCAAAGGTTCATGGGGGAGGGAGGGAAAAATGAGCTGATACCAAGGGCTCAACTAGAAAGAAAATATTTTGAAAAAGATGATGGCAACCTATGTACAGATGTGCTTGACACAATGGATGTATATATGGGTTGTGATAAGAGCTGTACAATCCCCCAATAAAATAAATACATTTTTTAAAAAAAGAGCTGCACCCAGAGGAAAGTGAAAGGAAATAGAGGGAAGAACTAGGAGGCAAAGGGTAGTCCTAGAGATTTAAATACAGACATATAAAGATGTAAATATATTTAAATACAACGAGGGGGAAATAGATCTATGTACATATATTTATAGGTTGAGTATTAGGAAAACAGATGGACAGTGGGCCCCTGCACAAGTACTCACTCAACACAAGAACACTTTGTTCTAACAAGTCAGCAGTCTGAGATGCTCACCTTCCTGGCACAATCGCTGAAGACAATGGGTGCACAAGCAAATGTGGTGAAGAAAGCTGATGGTGCCCAGCTACCAAAAGATATAGCACCTGATGTCTTAAAGACTTGAAGATAAACAAGCAGCCATCTAGCTGAGAGACAACAAAACCCGCATGGAAGAAGCACACCAGCCTGTCCCGCCTC